GTTTGGGTTGCCTGTGCCAGCGTGACTCCTCTCAATCTCCTATGCATCCCCAGTCCCCTCGCCAGTGCAGCAGTATGAAAAGCAGAAAAGGCCTTGGCTCTGTGTAAGCACTATTCGGCAATAACAAAAACATCTCTACGTTATCGACCTTATGTTCAGCACAAATCCAAAACATAGTCCCATACCAGCCATGAGGAAGAAAATTAACTCTACTCCAGCCAAAACCAGCGCACCCAGCCATTTAAAAAGCAAATCATCACAAGTAAGGGTGAATCAGAGCAGGAATTTCTTCTAGCCCAGACTTTCCTGAGCAAGGAATTCAGGATTAGAGTCTGAGAGAATATGCCAAAAGGAAAGATAAAGTTGGAAGGAGAATTTTCTGTACTCCACATTTCCCCAGGAGGCTGTTTGCCCTCAAGAACGACTTGCAACATCAATCTTGTGTGCTTTGCATGCCCTCTTCTCCCCTGTAGAAGAAGACTCTTAAGGAATTGCCACAACATTCTTCTTTTGCTCCTTGTGATGGGCATCTTTATCAGTGAAAACCATGCCAAGGTTTTTCTTTTTTTGGAGAGCTCTTGTAGGCATCTAACCACAAAGTCTTGTGTCTTTTAACTCCAATTCAAGAAGTGCCTACACTTGGAGGTACTTAGTTTTTACCGACGTAACATTTCACAAGTGCATAGAACTTGCCTTTAGCCAGGCCATGAATGCTGACTCTGTTTTGTATTCTGCAGCATCTATGTGTGCATTTTTTATCTCCTTCTTATCAAGATGTATTCTCAGAAAAAGCAAGTATAGAAGAAAATTTGTTTGTGATTAGGCCTAACACAAAACAAAATGTAAGACTTATTCAATAGCTTTAATTACCAGTGAGACAGATATAATGGAAATTTTCACCTATGCTGCTACCTTCCCAAGTACCTACAATTTCTATAGGAATAGTAACTAGGGGTCTGTGATAGCAAATATCTTTCACTTGCAAAAGCGTATTATTAGAGCTCTGTACATACTCTGATTTAGATAAATTTTTTCTGATTGTTTCAAGAAGTTTTGGGTTCTTAGGCACACAGAGGTACCACTAGAGAAGGATTTTTGAGGCTATAGAGTTCATGAATAGGTATTTGCTATGGAAAGTTGAAATAGAGAGCATTAAGGATTTTTTTCCAAGAGCTATGTGACAGCGAGTGCTTTTTCAAGTTCTCCTGAAAAAATGAAGAATTAGTTTCATTCTTGATATAGCTCTCCTGACAAGAACTGAATCTCCTTTGCAATGGATTTGGCTCAGAGGGCTTTTTGCAGTTGTGAACATCTGATGATCACTTCATTACTTAGACCAAGTTTGCTTGGTGTCAGTGTGTGATGTATTAGTAGCACATCTCTGACTACTTTGCAATCCTATTTTCATGTTCCTCTTCCTAGGCTTCCAACAGCTCAGCTAGAAGCTCCTGAAAGACTGGCAACATTAGTTAGCATCACTTGCTTGATACCAACTCTCACCACTACCAAATATTTTTCGCTGACATTTGAAGCACTGCGTCAAGTTGATCAGATCAAGAAAGAACCCCAAATAAGCTGCCACTGAGCTGCTTGCTGCTGCACTGTGATTTTCTAGATTTGTACTCAGGTGGTTTTGAGTTGAGTGCCTCCCTACTGCACTACAGCCTTCACTAGAGACTTCACATTTGCCAAGTCTCAGGAACCATCAACAGTTCTTTTGTGAAAGGTCTAGCAAGTTATTCAGTAAGAACCTCTGTCAGAAAAAAACAATTTTTATCAGAATGGTTATTTCCAGCTCTAGAGTTCGCCAGCACCAAGGGCTGACCTCTTTGAGGGACTGACCTGTTACTCTACTCATGACCTATGACCACACAAATTAAAGGTCTTTTTTAACTAGATCTGAGGTTAAGTGACACCAACTAACTGGCACCTATGTTTTTTAATCTGACCTCCTGCAGCAGGTGTGTCTTGCAGTCAGATACTTGGATTAAACAGTGCAGGCGATCAGAGTCCACAAGCAGGATCGTGTGTCTGAACCTTCTCTCTGCCTGTTATTAAACATAATACATGTGCCCACAGTTATCAGTTGACTTGGCCTGGCACCTCTTCAGACCCCTATTGCCACTCTTCACAAAACTTACTCTAGATCTATCCTCTGCCTTTCTGGACATTCACTGCCATTTCTTCACTTTTTCAAGCCTGTACTTTTGTGAAACTGCATCCCTGTACTTGCAGCTTAATGAAAGTAGGCACACATGTAGCACATTAAGGCATGAGTTCTTGCCTGCAACTGCTGAATGCTACTACGCTGCTTAAAATAAATAAGTTAACCATAATCTATTACATCTGCCAAGAAAGATCTACATAAGCCAGACAGTGAAAGCATGGGTTTGCTTTGCAGGCTGCAAAACTGAAACTAATTTTGGAGAATTACAGGTGGTGCAAATAAGACAGCTGCAAACAGAACGTTTTTAAAAAACTTACATCTTGCAGAAACTGAAAGTCAATAGCTTTTCTTTTTATTAGCAGAGGGCTTGTTCCTTCTTAAGCCTGGTCCTTTCAGCCTGTAAATGAGTCCAAACAACTGCAATCTGTCCCTTGTTCTCACGGGTTTTTTTTCTTTATATTCTGTTTATATTATAAATATACCAAGAATAATGGATTGCATGTTCCTGTTGTGTGAAGAGGGGAGATTCTCTTGACCCTTACTGCGGGGAAATTTCCTCGACCGTTAGTATTTGCCTGTCAATGCCCCAGGAAAGTGGAGACCCTTGTGCCTGACCAGTCGGTCAGTGTCCTCTTATGGGACGCTTCACTGATCAGTCCTGCTGAATCAGAGGGTGCTTCAACTGACTTACTCAGGGAAACACACCAACAGCATAAGGGAGACCCCTCAGCAGATCTTCCCACTTTATTTGAGTGTGTTACTGACTGCTGGCAACTGCTGGTGTTTGTCAAGGGCTCACACTAACAGTTTACAGAATAACACACTTTATTAATATAAAATTGTGACAGGTTAAGGTTTGAAGATGGCTGGTGATGGCATCTGACTGCAAAAATGTATTTAAAGAAATACTGAGACAAGTTCTTACCCCAAATAAAGTATTCAGCACACACAGAGTACAGCCCTTACCCAATACATGTCCCTGTGGGGGAGAAGACAGGTTCAGCCCTTCGACTAATCCCAGCAATTACAATGGAGCCTTCCTAACTTTCCCCCCATTCTAGATTTACTTTTATACTATTTCTTTATATTTAGGTGGAGCTTGAGTGACTTCAGTCATAAATACCTTTGTTGCTGATTGGTGTAAAATTCTCCCACTTTGTTTTCAAAAAAATTATAGAGTGCACGCCCAGTGAGGGGTGGCCATACCTTGGAGGTGGGTAACTTTGGGATGGAGGTGTGAGTTAATATTACAATTAGGCTTTAATGAACCAAGTTCATCTGAGGAGAGAGATTTCATCACAGAGCCTGGCTGTGGGGTCTCCCCTCTGCTCCACCCTCTGTTCCATCCCCCTTAGCAGGTGCTTACTGTTGTATGGGGAATCATCGTGGAGCTGCTAACCACATTCCATCCAGGGAGTAGCAGCTGCATTTTACCCCATATTTTCCATACTGTTATAACTTCTGTTAGGATGTGAATATAACTTCTAACTTTCCTCTCATTTTTATCCCCAGCCATCTTCCCACAGTTTTCCTTTCCCTAAGCTGAAAACAAAACAACGAAAAAAGAAAACTTCAGCACTTACTTTGAATTGATCACTGTTTAGTTGGGGAGAAAAAGTCAGAAGATATTGTGTACCACAAAAATCAAGGTCGTAACATCTAGAGTAGATAGGATGGACTTAGCTCATGGAAAATCTGTGGCCTAGCGTTCAATTTAATTTCAGTTTGTGATAGGTGATTTTCTTTATGTTACAGTAACATAAGAGGTGTGATAATGAATAGACTGCAAAGGGGTCTGGACAGGCAGGATTGATGGGCCAAGATCAATGGTATGAGGTTCAATAAGGTGAAATGCAGAGTCTTGCACTTGGGTCACAACAACCCCACGGAGCACTACAGGCTTGGGGCAGAGCGGCTGGGAACCTGCCCAGTGGAGAAGGATCTGGAGATGCTGGCTGAACATGAGCCAGCAGTATGCCCAGGTGGCCAAGAAGGCCAATGGCATCCTGGCCTGTATCAGGAATAGTGTGGCCAGCAGGACCAGGGCAGTGATCACGCCCCTGTACTCAGCACTGTTAAGGCTGCACCTGGAGTACCATGTCTAGTTTTGAGCCCCTCATTACAGGAAAGACACTGAGGTGCTAGACTCTGTCCAGAGAAGGGCCACAAAGCTGGTGAAGGGTCTGGAGCACAAGTCTTATTAGGAGTGGCTGGGGGAACTGGGGTTGTTGAGTCTGGAGAAGAGAAGGCTCACAGTAGACCTTATCACTCTCTACAACTACCTGAAAGGAGGTTGTTCTGAGATGGGCTTCAGTCTCTTCTCCTAAGTAACAAGTGACATGATAAGAGGAAATGACCCTGAGTTGCACCAGGGGAGGTTCGAGTTGGACATCAGGAAGAACTTCTTCACTGGAAGGGTGGTCAAGCATTGGAACAGGCTGCCCAGGGAGGTGGTGAAGTCGCTATCCCTGGAAGTGTCCAAGAAATGACTGGACTTGGCACTTAGTCATATGGTTTAATTGATGTGGTGGTATTTGGACAAATGTTGGACTTGATGAGCTTGGATGTCTTTTCCAGCCTTAATAATTCTATGATTCTAAGGAGTAGAAAGACATTCAGCAGGGAAAAAGTAGCCATTCAAAAACAAGAAGAAGTGAGACTGGTAAAACACTACCATTATTTGGAGGGAGGAGAGAGTTTTCAGAAGGTAATTTTAATAGATTCAGTACATTCAGAGAATATCTGACAAACTACTTAGTTCATTAATAGAAGGATTATATTCTTAATTTCTGTGTTGATGTATTGCTTTTTTCACTTAACATTTCTCCTTTAGGTTTTGAAGCCAAGTGTTCATGATATGATCCAGCTGACTTACAGGAATCAACAACCCCCTTGTGAATAATGATTAAAAACGGATCCCACCTGGATGCTTTGACGCTGGCAATGCTCCAGAATAAAACTGTCTCCATCACTCTCCCAGTTGTGTATACAGTGGTGGCTCTGATCAGCATCCCTGGCAACTTGTTCTCCCTTTGGGTGCTCTGCTGGCACATTAAACCCAAAACACCTTCTGTTATCTTCATGATCAACCTAAGCATCACGGATCTCATGCTGGCCAGCTGCTTTCCTTTCCAGATTTCTTATCACTTTCAAAGCAATCACTGGAGCTTTGGCAAGACTCTTTGCAGCCTTGTGACTGTGATGTTCTACTCCAACATGTATTCTTCCATACTGACCATGACCTTTATCAGCATTGAGCGGTACATGGGTGTGGTATACCCCATGAAGCTGATCAAGTGGAGAAGAAAAAGATATGCCTTTGCTGCCTGTCTAGCTATGTGGATTTTCTTGCTACTAGCCTTGTACCCATTAGAAAGCACAGATCTGACCTATGAAGTGAAAGAATTGGGGATTATAACCTGTTTTGATGTCCTAAAATGGGATATGCTGCCCAACTTTGAAGCCTGGGTAGTCTTTCTCCTCACCCTATTTGTTGTCCTCTTCCTGATCCCTTTTGTTGTAACAGTTGGATGCTACATTGGCATCATTCGGAAGCTAATTCAGACATCGAACAGATATGGTAATAAGCAGAAGACTAGATCCATCTACCTGGCGACAATTGTCCTTCTGGTGTTCATCACTTGCTTTGCCCCCAACAACTTTATCCTACTTGCACATATGATCATCCGCCTATTTTATGAGAGCAGTTTGTACCCTGCCTACAAGCTCACCTTGTGCCTCAGCTGCTTCAACAACTGCATAGATCCCTTCATTTATTATTTTGCATCCAAAGAATTTTACCAGAAATTCATGCAATTGTTTCGCCCAAAGGTACTGCTCAGCGACAGCTTAGAAACCAGAAGGGAAAGTTTATTCTCTGGCAGGACCATGTCAGCCAGGTCAATGTCAAGTGGACCTATGGATGGGTTAGAGGGAGTAAAAGTCTATTTGCAAAGGCAGGAAAGTGTTTTTTAGCTTTAGACATCCCCAGAAGAAAGACATGTGAGATTCATGAGTAAACAAAGAAGATATTTCCTTTTGAATGGCTACTCTCAAAATACCTGGCTTTTGTGACAGAACTCAATCTGTACTTACATTGCACATTCTACTCCAGTGTTTTCTGGTAAGAAATGGAAGCCTTAAAGGAATTGAGTTTATTCAAGAAGGCACTGAAGCAAACTCAACATTAATAATTAGGAGTTGGCTTGGAAGTAGCCCTACCACACGAGACCAAGGGATAAATTTAGGACAAAAGTTACTCTCAGGTTGTACAATAGGGTTTAACCAAAGACTTGTGATTCTCTGTGAATGTGAACTATTACTGTACATGAATTACAGCATACACTGAAGCTGGGTTTGGGGCAAGGGGGTTGTTTTTCTAAGCAACATGCTCGGCTTTGGGTTATTGGGGGGCTTTTTGTTTGTTTTGGTTTTTGGGGTTTTTTTATGTATTGCTTTCTCTCTTGTTGTATTTCTATAAAAGAATGAATAAAAGTAGCATGTCATTTTACCATTAATTCATAATGCATAGCCACTGTGAATTCACAACAACACTCACCCAACAGTTTAGCAGAACCAAACCACACTGACATTTGAAAAGGATAGATTGACTCATACTATTTATTTCAATTTTATACAGCAAAATATCTCTTGCAATGAAAGAAAAGCTAGAACTAACAATGTTTGCAACTACTTCAGCTGCTGAATGGATTATATCTTAATTTCTTGAAGTTATTAATTTCTCAGGACTGTGGGGAGCAGTTTTTTAAAAAAAACAAAGATTTTCTCACATTAACATGTACTCTAAGCTATATGTAGAAGAGCCATCCCTCTTAGCAGAGATTTTAGCTTTATATAATGCATGGGCAATGATTTTATCTTCCTTATAGTTATGGTGTGGATTATCAACCAGATTTTCAGCTGGATAAACGAGAATTCAACCACAGACTGGAGAGTGATTTTGTACCAGCAGAAATCAACTGAACCTCCATCCCTATGGGCAGATGTCCAAAACAGACGGCTTTCAGGCAGGCAAACAGAAAGAAGAGGAGACAAAGGAAAGTAAGGCATGAGAATGGGAGCTGTACCACATACTCTGATAATAGGTTATGGCAGGTGGATTGTGCAGTCCTGTATCTGGAATGCTTCTCTGAAATATCCTTCTCCAGCTTGTTTGCATATACCATGACATGTTTTTCTTTTAATTTTTCTCACATCTCAACAACTGCTTGTGTGCTTGGAAAGACAACTGCGGACCATACACTGGGGACAGACAAAGGCAAAGTTTTTCCTGCCATATTTACAGCTTTTTACCTACCTCTGGCCCTTGTTGATAGTGGAGAGCCAAAATATATCTGAGAGTGCTGGACGAGTTTCCCCTCACAAGTGAGACAAAGCTATACAGTATCCTTTTGCTGCACTGCAACACGCAGGGTCCTTAAAATCTGTCATTTTTCTTTGAGTATAACATAATTAAAATGCAATTTTCCACCACTGATCACCATGAATTTGTTCATGACAGATGTCAGAAAACCACAAAATGCACCATGACATATTTGTATGTCCTACCTTCTGCTAAAGTATCATCAGTTTTTGGAGAAGAATAAACATGAGTGTACCTAGTATTACTTTACCTGACTTAGTAAAGCCAGTGGGAACATTCAATGTTTTGTGGCATTTCAAGTGATAGTTTTAATTATCTTCACATTTTCTGCCTACAAGGCCAGCCTCAATGATATGTAAGCTGTCTAAACCTTCCCATCAATTTGCCTGGAAGATACCCTTCACCATCCACTTTCACAGAATTCCAGCTTTCTCACTGCCAAAAGTGTTTAATTGTTTTCAGCATTTTTGCTGCAGCAGAAACTTTCTTGGAGGTTATACTGAAATCTCTCTCCCTTTTTTTTTTTTAGCATGCAAATATTTTTACAATGAAAACCATTACTTCTCCTACCTCTAATGCAGGCTCTGTTTTATCTTGAACCTGATCTGTGAGCGTATAGTCTCTCCTAAAATGTTCTTCAATGTGCCTGAACTGTAACTGACACCAAATAGAGCCAAAAGGGAGAAACCTTGCACTTTGGACGTCAACAGTTATATTTTTAAAAATACTGAATTGCTCCTTTCGCAAGAGAAAATAGATGGTCACAACTGACTGAAAATGTTTTTCTCTCCATCCTCACACAGCTCAACATAGCCCTTCATCTCTCTTCTGACAATGTTTAAAAAAAATAGGGAGGATGCCTCGGGTACAGATTCAGGTACGTCTTCATGCCATTTCACCAACTAGCCTCTAGTTAGCTCAGATTAGGCAAAATTCCCATTTGGGTCAGTGAGACTGTTCCTTGAGAAAGGACTATAAAAATGAACCAACAACAGCAATCTTTTGAGTCTGATGGTGTATACTGTGAAGGCTTGGAGGGTTTTTATTAGAGAGGAAGAGAATAAATTATCTTTAAAAGTGGCCCAATATACTGTTCTTTGATCCTGGAAACACATTCTTCTGGGGCATCATAAGAACAATGACTTCTACCTTCCTTGGACAGTGGGTGTGAGTTGACATTCACACACACACACACACACACATAGATATATACATATATATACACACATGAATGTAGATTGTAATTTGTGAGGTTATTGAGAAGTTCATGTCCATGTTAGCTTCACTTTGGAGAATATGGGCCCCAGGTAACATGCTTACTTGCTTGCCTCTGTAGTTAATGTAATTTTACTGAGAAGACAAGAATGCTTCTGTTTGTTTTGGAGGTTGGAGGGGTTTTTGTGGTTTTGGGTTTTTTTTAATTGTCTAGAAGTTTAATCTATGAATGTGCTTGAACTTTTGCGTACATATAATAATAATAATAACAATAAATAAAAAGGATGTGATTTAAGATTCATTCCCTTGTTTTCACCTGCCATGTGTGAAAAACTTCCAAACAGAAAAGGGTAGAGAACCCAAGTCATGGAATAAAATTTCACATTGTTATTGTGATTTTTTTAGATTTCTATATTGTTTTAAGTCTGTTATTTTTCCCATGTATGAAGATTGATTTTTTTCTTTGCATATGTGTTCATATTTTTCTTTTTTTTTTTAAAACTTGATATTGTCATAGACCCTTCACACAAATTTTAAAGGTATCAATACTTGAATGAGTAACTTAAATCCTTCTCTGTGCCCAAGAGGTGCACCAAATACATATATTTTTAAATTTCAATGCATTTCTGAAGTGGTCTGGCAGTCAGAGCCCATCACACCCCCGGCCCAGAGCAGGGCACTGGGGGAAACTGGGCAGGGACAGTCAGGGTTGGTAGTCCTAGAATCACAGAATATCTCAAGTTGGAAGGGACTAACGAGGATCATTGAGTCCAACTCCTGGCCCTGTATAGGACAGCACCTGGAATCACACCCTGTACCTGAGAGTGTTGTCCAAATGCTTATTGAACTCTGTCAAGCTTGGTGCTGTGACCACTTCCCTGGGGAACTTGTTCCAGTATCCAGCCACACACTGGGTGGAGAATCTTTTCCTAATATCTAACCTAAATCTCCTCTGACACAGCTTCAGGACAGTCCCTCAGATCCAGTCACTGATCACTAGAGAGAAGAGATCAGTGTCTGCCCCCCTGCTTACCCTCGCTGAGACTGCAATGAGGTTTCCCTCAGTCTCCTCTTCTCCAGGCTGAACAGACCAAGTGATCTCAGTCGCTCCCCATACGACTTCCCCTCAAAGCCCTTCACCATCTTCATTGCCCTTCTTTGGATGGTCTCTAATAGCTTAATATCTTTCTTAAACTGTGGTGCCCAAAACTGCACATCATATTCAATATTGTCTAGGTAGGATCTACAAGGACTGGAAAAGATCAAGATAAGGGCATATGAGATGATCTAAGAAAGTAATATAAAATCTTACAAGTTAAATAGTTTAAGACTGTTCACCTCAGAAAAGAGACAATGTAAGGTAGGTAAGAAAAAGGTCTACAAAATCCTCAATGAAGTGGAAAAGCTGATTTGGATGAGTTTCACTGTCTTTGCCCAAGCAGTAACTTCAGAATAACATATTAACTAATGAGATTCAGTCTTCTTGCAAGTCTTCTAATATTTTTCCTTAAAGTCTAAGCAGGTGGAATATGTTATCAAACAAGAAGACTCTCAAGCCTCTTTAATTATAAAACAAGAAGTTCAGAGCTGCCAGACAGAATACCTTTCTAACTTTGAGCATAAATACCTCAACTCCCTTCTTGCCTGTCTTAGCTCATGATGATGTCCTGCAGTCAGTCTTTTTCTTTTCCTTCTGCAGAAATTTTCAGCACAGAGACACTGATGGTTCTCTTTCCCCGGTTTCTTTACCACATGACCCGGCTTTGGCATGCCACAATTACTCATATACAGAAAGTCAAGTGCACATGGTGTCCTGCTGGGAGCTACCAAGGCTAATTGTCCTTTGAAGCTTTTCCTGTTATGTTCCAAAACCTAAACTGCTGTTGTTAGATATGGTGAAGCACCATAAAAATGGAGAATAGTTTTGTTGAGTCCCTTAAATCTGTAGAAATGTAAAGGTTTTGCTCCTCTGCTGTATACCTGAGCAGCTTTGTCAAAGGAGAAAAGACAACAGACTTAAGGGAGGTATAAGCAGATTCAAGCAAGAGATGGGAGGGGGGTTGCAGAAGTAACATCTGTGGTAGCTGGACAGAGAAATACTCTAACTGGCAGTCTGCAAAGAGAGACAGAAAGTTAGTCTCTGTATTAGTCTCTCTGCAGTTAGAGAATGTCTGTAAATAATTTTCTTCATAAACAGTCAGTTTCATTTTAGAAACATGGAGCCTTTTCAACATAAAAGCTGGAAGCTGCAGCAAATCTCCAGATCTCTGCTGTAAGGAAAGGAATCTGATTAACAGACATATAAACCACTACCTAGATACAGAACAAACATCTCATAGAGGGACTCAGATCTCTGGAAACGCGAGCCTGCCATGCACAAAAGGTGAAACTTATCTGATCAAAATAGATACCAAGTGTTGCCCTAAGCATCTTATTGCTTGGCAACATTCATGTTGACTTCCTCCTCTGTTCCCTAAATTTACGTGACATTTGCTTTGATTATTGGTTGCATGCAGACATCCAGGTGTTGGTAGATCTCTGTGCCATGGTCCCACACCACAGAAGCAATGTTGGTATCCCAGGACTGTTATCACTTTCTTCTTGACAGCTGAATTGTATTTTGCCATCTTCGTGCTTGCAACAGCAGGTTGTTTATCTGATGTAGGCTCATGACCTGGGAAATAATATTCCTGGGGACCTCAGCAAACATTTAAATAGGCCACAGGTCTTTCTCACTTCCCCAGATTCATATAGGTTCAGAAAATAAAGGATAATATATAAGTTAAATGACTGGAAGCCTCTTCCTCTCAATTACCTCTACGAAGAGTCTGTTCACCTTCTCAATTAGAAGCTCTATACTGAGTGCAATGGCTTTGCCTCTCTCAAAAAGTTTCAGCACTGCAACACTGATGGTTTGGTTTCCCCAGTTCGTCATTATTGTCAACAGGCTGATATTTTTATCTTCTCCTATTTCACCTTGCATTCCATAGTAAATGCAGAATGCATCAGTATCTCACCCTATTTGCATGGGGTAATGCAAACTACTCTGTACACTTACACACAAAAT